CATGGGAATCAGGCAGCAGGAAGAGGGTCAGAAACGAAACCCTGGGAGAAAACAGCAGGACCCTGATGCACAGTCTGCACATTCACTCTGTTCTATGAAGTTGCAGAGCTGGGAATGTCCGTCATTAGTGACAGCTAGCCAATCGGTGACTGCTTCAGCTGAGGGTCTGTGAGAGACCTGACGGGGCCAAGTGCTCTGTGTCTTGGCTGAGATGGCGCTGGCATGGGCATCTGCCACTGCCAAAAGTCACTGGACTATATGACACCTCTGTGTAACCACTGTTTCTTAACTACACCTCAATGGAAGTACATGTGTCAGACAGACGCCCACACCTCCCTCCAGTCTGCAGAAGGAACACAGTGAATGCATGTAGCGCCCTGGGTGGGCAGGACTTAGTGTATAATTGCTTTAGGCGGTTCCTGAAATGTGGTTGATGCTTCTGCCAGTCACAGAGAGAACCCACAGGGCTTGTGTAGGGCTGCGCTGGGTCACAGATAGGAGGCTCTGCAGGGACTTGTGTCCCAGCTGCCAGCACCACTCTCTTTCATGGCCCACTGGGAAGCCTCTGAAGACATCTTCCCCTCTCTTCCTCAAAGTCCCAGACCAGTCCTAGTGACAAGCACCAAAACACCTACCTTGGCCTTACATAAAGGACTTGGTACTCAGTGCCCAAAGAGGGACCTGAGGCCTTGTGGGACACTTTCTCTAGCAGGAGCCTGTGCATAAGGAGTTAGCCAACCACGCAATGGGCAGGGAGGGAGGGAGCCAGGCCACAAGTTCTCTACGGCCTACTTCAGACACTCTGGGGCCTCCCTAAAAGTCTCCATTCCAAGACCACACCCTAAATGGAGACAGAGTGTATGTGTGTGCTTGTGTGTGCCTATGTGTATGTGTGTACATATGTACATATACGTATTGATGTGTGCTTGTGTGTACATGTGCACATGTATATGCTTATGTGCATATGTGTACATGTAAATGTGTGTATTTATGCATGTATACACATGTATATGTATATGTATATATGTTTGTGTGTGAATATGTGTGTACATGTACATGTATATATGTAAGTACTTATGTGTGTGAGTGTATATAGACATGTATATATGTATGTGTGTTTATGTGTGTATGTATATATGTATAGTAAGCATGTGTATATGTATATTATGTATGTGAATGTATATGTGTGTGCATATTTTAAACATGCATTTATATGTATATGCACATGTGTACAAGCATGCATTGTTATGTATGTATATGCACATATGTATATCAAGTACAATTAGGTTTTTATACATGTGTGTGCATTGGTATTGTTTATAGTGTAGATGTATGTGCACATGTGCTATTTACACATGTTATGTGTGTTGTTTGTGCATGCATATGTTGTTTATGTGTATGCATGCATGTGTACATGTGTTTTTGACACACACGATTCTTAGGGTTCAGTCAGGCCTGAGCACCTGCCTCCTATGTGTGGCAGTCAGCAAACAAACCGAGAGGGAAGAGGAGGAAGACCCAGCCCCTTGGGAACTGAGCAGCATCTGGAAGTAGAGGAGTACATCAGAAAGGGCTGTGGCTAACGGTGACCACCTTACCCCACCCCAGGCCTCACCTGACAACCCAGAATGCCCTTATGCTCAAGTAGGTGCTTTGGGTGTGAGCAAGTTAAAACTGGGGTGGGACCAGCTCCAGGGCTGGGGTGAGGCTTACGTCCTCATCAATAACAGAACTGAGGGGGACATCAGCAGACCCCAAGAAGATGGAGGCAGAAACCTCAGCCATGCCCACACAGAGGCGAATGCAGAGACATGTGTGAGGTGTGTCCCTCCAACAGGGCAATTACCTCATGGCAGGCTTCTGGCCCCACACCTAGAGAAGCAGAAATGTCAGAGGCTTAAGCTGCTGTGTGGCAACTGCTCAGACAGCCCAAGGAACTAGTCAAAGGTGAAGCCGAGCTTTCCCTTATGCAGAGGTGCAGTCACAGCTGAGATCATTGAGCAGGAGCCTGGGAAATGCCTAGATGCTGAGAAACACGGTTGCCAGGCTGTGCAGCAGGGAGCTGTGGCCCCTAAGGCTGGGGTCCAGCAGGAAGAGACAACAGGCAACACCACCACTATCCAAACAGCGCTGTCCATCGGTAGGTTCACGGACATGTTCTTGTTCCCCAAGCTGGGGCACAGGGGCACCGTTCCAAAATAAATAAGCTAGCCTTGTAAATATGGGCCAGCCCACTCTGTTTTTCTTACCAACTCATCCTCCCAAACCGTGTAAAGTCAATTAGACAATAAATATTTATCCTCCCCTTCTGTGTCCACAGGTCTGAGTCACTAATTGTCAATATGTATTCATTATCTCCCTACAGGCTATAAACCAAGCCAACCACCCAAACTAACACGTATGGAGTGTCCTTGCTTGGGTCTAGAACAGAACAAAGTGGGCAATAAAAACCAACAGAGGACTAGAAGTGAGGGACAGTGACTGGCCAGCAGCTGAGGGTGGCCCAGAAAAACTGCATTATAGAAGCCGAAAGAAGGCATTTCACGGAACTGGAAAGTTTGGGACTCCAGCTTTGCTACTGAGTAAAATGGTGAATCACTTTACCAAGAAAGGCTGCTCTCCTTATCTGTCAAAAAGAGAAGATGCGGTGGCCAGGAGGGGCGGGGAACCAACAGATTTGCAAGGTTCAAAGGATTTTCAGATGCACTGACAACTTTGCTGAAGGCACACATGGTTCACCAAGGCTCCAGAAGACTTCAGGGTGACATTGGGCACACTGGCTTGAGGGTCCCAGGGAAGCTGACGGGAACTGACAGACATCCTCTGCCCCTACCCTGCAGCCAACCACAGTACCACCCTGCCTGCCTCAAAGAGGAGAGCCCTGTCTGCTCAGTACCTCCAAAAATCACAAAGGAGGAGTCTGTGTTTCCTTCTAGAACAATCCTGAGGCATTCAAAACCAAACAGGACAGGGGCTCCGCTGAGGCCAGAGAACAGGGCAGAGAAGGTGGCTGTCTCCCTGTGTCTCTCCTTCCCTGTTGGGTGACTCTGGCCGCCCAACTCTGACTACAGCACCTCAGCTTTGCCCGGCCCAGCCCTAAGCTCCCGCTGGCCCTTTGCTGGTTTCCATTAGCACTGCCCATGCCCTCTGACCTTGCTTCCAGTCCTGGTGGTCAGCCCTTCTTATAGCACACGGTTCTTCCCTCTCTCCCACTCTGTATTCATGGCTCACGGCCATGCAGATAAGCAGAAGCCCCTCGGAAGTTTTGCCTGGCTCTCTGAGTCTCTTGGATTTATTGCCACTTTTATCAGCACTGCAGGTGAATGTTCCAGGATGCATGCTAAGGGCAGGCTCTACCTCTGAGCCTAAGCCTTCCTCAATTGCCGTTTTTAAGCCTGAAATTTTTTGTTCCTGTTTAATCTTCTAAAATCAGCTTTGACCATACAGACCATGTTTCCACATGGGAACACGGGCTACTGTCAGTCCATAGCTGCCTACTGAGAAGGTTAGGGGACCCTCTGGTCCCTGGTCTCCACCCTACTGTCTTCTCCTACTCATCTGCTACTCTTGTTCCTGGAGGAAACTGACATATAGCAGCAAAGTCAGCCTCTACCACGCCCAGTAAAATAACAAATGAGATGGTCTTGAAAGCAATTTAATGTGAAACATGTTTATAACATAAAATTACCTTAAAGACAGACTGGAAGAGCCGAATAAACAGTTTTTATCCCTGAAACAATGTTTGCTTTCCTCTCCTTTATTCTTTTATAAAAAAAAATGACTAAACTTTCAAAAACGAAACACATATCTGACCCCGTGCATGTCATAGGCCTATAACCCCAGCTGCTCAGAAGCCTAAGGCAAGAGGGTTAGAGTTCAAATCCAGACTGGGCAACTTAGCAAAACCCTCTCTTCATTTAAAAAAAATGTTTTAAAACTGTTGGGGATGAGCCAGGTGGTAGTGGCGCACATGCTTGATCTCAGTTCTAGGGAGGCAGAAGCAGGTGGATCTCTGTGAGTTCAAGGCCACCCATGTCTATAAAGCAAGTTCCAGAGCAGCCAAGGCTCAAAGGGGAAAAACCCTGTTGGAAAGGTAGCTTGGAAATAGAGCAGTTGCCTAGAATGCACGAGGCTCTGGGTTCAACAGCCAGTACTACACACGTGTAGACATACATGCACATGTGAAGGCTGGCAGGACCCAGCCATGTGCCATGCTCAGTAACTTTCCCAGGGAAAGTTCTTAAAAACTTCATACCAGGCTTGAAATTTTTCCCTAACTTTACAACCATCTTTGGAGGCAGGGCCTTCATCCTCACTAGACTATAACAAGCTTCTTGGGCACAGAGAATATCTTACTGTTCAATGGATGCCCGGCACTTGGAATGACCCCAACCTCGACTCCAGACAGACCTCAGTCATCAGGCAGAGGCGGGAGGAAGATGAACACCACGACTGACTGCAAGGCTCTGGAGTTCCAGTCCCAGCCCCACCTCTTCCGGGCACAGGCACTGGAAACTCAGTCTTCCAACCTGTGAAACGGGTATAATGGCCCCAGCCCGTGACCCGAGGCTGCTGTGAGCACATGGCTAGGTGCTTGCCACAGCACCTGCAGGGTCACAGCTCACAATTGAGAGTGGAGTGGCAAGAGGGTGAACAGAAAGAAGAGGGTGTGTGTTCCAGGAACTTAATTGCAAATGCGCCTGCACTTCCGAAGACCAAAGCGATAGTTAAACTTTTCGAATCTTCTAAGCCAACAGCCCCTCTCAGCTCCCATTAGCTGTCCTTAGATTTTATTTCCCATGAGGCCACAGAAGTCTCCACAAAAGCAAATAGAAGCAAAAACCAATAGCTCCCTGGGTATAGTTCCTACCCTTCTGGTCACCACAGACCAACTGAATGTCCTTGCAAGTCCCATGGATTCTCGCAGGCCACCTGCCCAGGGTGGATGCTCATGTGTGGCCCCTTTCCCCAGAAAGACACAGCCCTGAGGCCTGACTTACAGCACTCAATGGGGTTGGACGCTGCCTGCAGGGAAATGATTCGGCCACTGGGTTCTGGGACATGCACACGGAACACCAGGCGCACTCGCGTGTTCTTCCTGCCGATGTCTGTCTCGCCCTTCCGCAGCTCGATGTCAGCATTTCGAAGCTTCAGGATGCCTGCGCAGTCGATGCTGCACGGGGAACAGCCCGGGTCATAAGAACTGTCTCACTGAGCAAAAAAGATCACCCACAAACCTGCCTAAGGTGACCAACCAAATGCATCCTCCTGACAGCCACTGGGGAATTGCATATACCTGGTGGGTATTATAACCAGAACCAAGAGGCTCGATTTTTATAAAGAAAAAGAAAGAAATTATAGGGTACTTAGATCATCTCCTGAGTGGAGACTGATTCTCTAGGGAAATTTTCCTCATCTACGTTTCCATTCTCAAAAGCACCAGGAAATCAAGAAAAACTACCCAGGGCTTGTTCACCAATATCAGAATATCAAGGTTTCTTGAATTCAACAAACAAGAAAGCACCCTTGCTCTTTGGAAATGCACACCGGGGTATGTAAAAGCCACGGAATGATGGACCATCTCTCAAAGGACTCGGGGCTATGGTGAGGGGCACAGGAGAGAGGAAGGAATGTGGACACTCGGAGATCTTGCACCCTCTCTCCCACAGCCTTCCTGGAGGCCTGACTTTATTTCCTCATGAAAGGTTCTTTGATGAGGACACATATGTGACACGTGGCCAGCTTTAGCCATGGGTGGAAGTGCTACATGAGTGACCTTCAGTGTTGTCACTGAAAAAGTTCTTTAGGTCCCATCGGTCTTTGTTTTTGTTTTACTTTTTGAGACAGGGCCTCATGTAGCCCAGGCTGGTCTGGTTTTATCTACAAACTCCAGAGCTTCCTGCCTCCATCCACACTCAACAAGTGTTCGGATTACAGTGTGTGCCACCATGCCCAGCTTCATGTACTACTTCTTGAAAAGAAAAAGATGGGTGGCTCCAAGACGGGGCAGTACCAGCAATGGCTGTTGTGGTACCCACGTTGGGATGTCCCCAATCCTGTCACTCAGGCCCTGCTCACTTCCCCAGGAAGCCCTGCCCCTCCCAGCCTTACGTGGCCCGCATGTTGTTCTTTGGCTCCAGGGGGATCTCCAGGACCTTGGTGTTGCCCACAATCTTCTCATAGCTGGTGGTGGTGACGGTTTTGCCCGTGATCCTGTGTACTTGGTAGAAGGCATGCGGCTTAAGGATCCTCTCATCAGCTGTTCCAATGAAGATCTGAAGCCCCAGGGGCTTGTTCTCCATGTAGCCATGGAGCTAAGGGAGGAGGGGGGAAAACTTTATTATTTATTTATTTGTGAGACACTCTAGTCTGACCACCAGAGAAGATCAGAGAAACGTGTAGACAGTGAAAAAGTGTGGGGTTGCTGTGTGGCCTGGACGGATGCATGACCAGAAGCAGCCTTGTTGTACAACCAGAAGGACTGTTCAAATGAGGGATGGCCTCTAAAACGGATGCCGAGGGGCTGGAGAGAGAGCTCAGCAGTTAAGGGCACTGGCTGCTCTTCCAGAGGACCCAGGTTAGAGTCCCAGCACCACATGGAGGCTCTCAACCATCTGTAACTCCAGTTCTAGAGGATCCATGCCCTCTTCTAGCCTCCACAGATACCAGGTACACATGTGGTAGACACAGGCAAAATACTCATATACATAAACTTTTATATATGTGTGTGTGTATATACAGACATATGTACACACACACACACACACACACACACACACACACCCTTTAAGCAGCCACAAGAAACAATATGCAATATAGATCAGAACTCAGTCACTGGCAAAGGGTTGGGAAAGTGAGGACAGAAAACAACTTGAAGACCCTCCCACCAACCACCCTCAGGATCCAGGTAACAGCAGCTGTGTGGGAGGGACTCATGAGCTCAGGTCCTTCTTTGAGAATCTGTAGGAGGTTAATGGTAGTTGTGAGAGGAGAAACACTTCTTCATCATTGCAGACGCTATAAGGTGCCCATGTCAGACAGACAGACAGACAGAGCAAAAGCACAACTCCAGTGATGAGAGACAGAGAGACAGACAGACAAACAGCACAACTCCAATAATCAGACAGACAGACAGAGCAAAAGCACAACTCCAGTGATGAGAGAGACAGATGAAAAGCACAACTCCAGAGATGAGAGACAGACAGACAGAGAGACAGACAGACAGAGGGGAAAGCACAACTCCAATGATTATTGAGAGAGGTGGTGGTGGTGTACGCCTTTAATTCCAGCACTTGGGAGGGAGATGGATCTCTGTGAGTTTGAGGCTGTCCTAGTCTATAGAGTGAGTTCCAGAACAGTCAGAGCTATACAGAGAAACCCTGTCTCCAAGAGGCAGAGAGAGGAAGTAAGAGAGAAAGCAGGGAGGGAGGGGCCTGGAAACACACTCACACAGCTCTTTTTGACCAAGGTCAACTAAGAAGGTCTGTAGACAGAACTCACTTTCCACAGGACAATATCCTAGTTTACACAGATTGATTTTATACGTTTAAAAGGAAAGAGCAACTCAACAGTGCAATCAATCAAGTCAAAATTAATTAAGGCCCAGAAGAAAATACACATCATGCTTAGCGGGCAAACGGTCAGCCCGTGTCCACAAGGAAGGGTGCTGAGGTGGAGGCCCACCTCTAACAGACACCCTACCTTCATGCTACTACCATAAGAGCTTGGAGTTACACTGGGTGATGGTGGCACACACCTGTAATCCCAGGAGGCAGAGACAGGCAGAATTTTGTGAGTTTAAGGCCAGCCTGGTCTACAGAGCAAGTTCCAGGACAGCCAGGGCTACATAGAGAAACCCTGTATCAAATAATAATAATAATAAATTAAAAATAAAAGAAGCTTTGGAGTTGCAGCACACAACTTTGACAACAGACACCCATGACCCAGTCATGCATCCATCAATATGCAGCCTGGAGAAGCCTCACCCAGACACACAAAGCATGCACTGGATGAAAGCGATGGGCCCAGACACACAACTCTACACAGAGTTCAAAGAGTATACATCCCACAGACCGACTCCCAAATTTATGTTGTTGGGGTGGGGGGTAAGACCAGAGAGAGGGCTCTGTGAGTGAAGGCACTTAATACCAACCCTGATGATCTGTTTGTGCCCCAGGACCCACAATTCTCACGACTTCCCCCAACATTAACAAGCAAGCTGTGGTTTGTAAATAAATGTATTGGGAGGTTTGTTGTTGTTTTAAGGAAAAAAGTGTCAAGACCTCCAATTTATAAAACGATACAGACATTTCTATTCCCACGTTCACAGACTGAAGAGAAAAGGGTGTGGAAAGGATACTCCACACAGACTGCACTGTGACCCCATGGAGGGGGAAGAGGGGTCCAAGACGGCAGAGGTGACGGAAGAGGGTGCTGACTTCAAACCTCACGGCACGAGAGGAATATATCAACTATAAACCAAATAACAAAAGACACAGACATGTTGAACTGAGACTCCGATCCTGAGTTCCAGCCACTTCCCGGCATCCTCTCCGATCCTTCTGTCCTTCCATTCCTAGATTTGCAAACTGAAGAGGCCTATGACAAGGGACAAGTTCCATAGAACTGCAGCAGGATCTCCTGTCACTTTCCAACCAAACCAAACCAAACCAACAAAAAACAAAAAACAAAGGAAGGCTCTGGGGTGATGGGCATGGCCTAGAATAGCCCTGCTCAGTGCAGAGCCGCCAGCCTCACGCATGCACTATGGCAATGGGCATGGCCTCGAGTCACCTGAGAAGGGAGTCTCAACTGAGGGGTTGCCCGGATCTAATTTTGTCCTGTGGGCAAGTCTGGTAGGGATGGGGGTAGCTTTATTGTTAACTGCTGCAGGAGGACTCAGCCTCCTATGAATACCACCATTCCCTAGGCAGGTGACTGGACTATATAGGAAAGCTGGGTAAGCACGAGCCTGTGAGCCAGCAAGCAATGTTCCTCCAAAGTTTCTGCTTCAAGTTCCTGCCCTGGCTTCCCTCAATAACGGGCCATGTGACCCGGAGGCTGAGAAAGAAACCCCTATCTTGCTTTTGGTCAGAGCATTTTATCACAGCAAGCTAGTAGAACTGGAAGAGTTTCTGAGTCCCACTCAGCATATGTTAAATGTTCTCTGGCCACACGTGGCTAGCAGCCACCACAGTGGACAGTGTAACCATCGGTTTCCATCCATCTTCCCAGAGCAGTCTATTGAGTGCCCCTGTTAGAAGCCACACAGAGACAGGCTGGACATGAGAGCTGAGCTGGAGGATGACCTGCCTGCCAGGCTGACACCCACAGCACTCACAGGAGTGGCAGCCTCAAGCAAAGGTGACACCCAAGTCAAAGCCACTCATCTGAAGGTCACCCACTGCTCTCGGTGGCACAGATCAAACAGGCAGAGGGCTGCATCGAGAGGACACTGTCTTCTTGTCGTGAAGGCTTAGCGTGGGGACCCAAGATACGTGTATTTCCTAATTGGATTCCCTGGTTCATGGGAGGTGGTAAACATGGTCCACGGTGCCAGAAGAAAGGCGGGCAGGGCTGCCGTGAGAGTTAACGCCAGGCTGCTTCCTCCTCCCGTGACAAGAGCAGAGTGCACAGTGAAGGACACATGGGGAGCAGCTGGAGGACATGTGCTAATCAAGGCCAGCCACTCCATCCCTCCCTTGTTGGCATTCCAAACCAAGCTGCCATTGCATTGCCTCTCATTTGGGCGGCTGTCAACATGCTGCTTCCCTCTTTCAGTCTTTCAGAGACTGGTTGAGTAATCTTTTAAAAATGCAAATCAGATCCGGGCACTCCCCTGCTTACAACCCCTCTGAAGACTTCCTGTGGCCTCCCAACTTAGCTGCCGCCTGTAGTCACTGCATTTCCCCCAAGCCCAGCCTCAGCCCAGCCCCTGCCTTCTCTTTCCATCCTGCTAGGCTTTTGGTCCCTCCCTTAGCTCAACACACCAAGTTCATGCTGACCTCTGGGCCTTTGCAAAGCCAATGTCTGTCTGGATGCAGATTTCCACCGCCTTTTCCATATAAACCATAAGTTGTCCCATGCCCAGGGCTCATTCAGCCTTGTGAAAAGCAACCACCAAACGCTCAGGATTTCAGAAGCCAGTTGGCAACATGCGTCTCCAGCCTTGATAAGGGAGAGTTTCACAACAAAATTGGCACATGCTAATTGGAAGTGTGTGTGTGTGTGTGTGTGTGTGTGTTTATAAGTGGGTGCTGCTATACCCTGATTTCATTTTTCATGGGCTCTGGGGATCAAAGCCAGGTCTTCTTGCACACAAAGCATACCTTACCCACTAAGCCATCTCCTCAGCCCCCAAGAGATACTTTTTTTTTTTAAAGAACCAGAGATTACACACTTCTCATCCCCCAAACAGTGACCATCTTTACCATTGTCCCCTTCAGTCACACACTCATCTGCCCATTCATCCCCCCATTTGGCTCACACATCGGAGCCTGTATCCCACAGTAGTGGGACCTCACAACACCCTGGCTAGCAAATGTTTGTCAGTGGGGTTTTCACCTTCAGCAATGACAATGGCATGGCCACCTCCCTCATACCAGACATGGCACTCAGTGTCTCTCACACATCATATGTCTCTACTGAAGTTGGTCGATCATCACCTACTTTGCAAATGAAGAAACCGAGGCTTGCTAAAGTTGGTCAGCGTGCGCCTAGTCAACAGTGTGAATGTGCATCTCTGGCCCCACAGCTCCCTCCCCACCAGCCAAACTCTCCACACAGTGGCTTCTGGTGGACTCATTCTCTCATGTAAGGCTCCAAGGAGGAGCACAGGTCCTCAAGGCAGACACAAGTGGGCGCCAGTGACATCATCAATTGTGAGCTCCTTGTCTACGGAGAGGAGGTGGCAAGGGAGTGAAGGGAGATTCAAGCAGAAGGCAGGGACCAAAGCAGCCAGAAGGGCTCAAATAGTTGCTCCTTAAGAGAGAGGCAGCTGAGCAGGGCACAGAAACCATTGCCTATGATCCCTGCACTCAGAGGGAATGGGGATCAAAACTTGAGGCTAGCCTGGGCTGCCTAGAGGTATACCACTTTAAAAAAAAAAAAAAAGAGGCTGGGAGATGGCTCAGTTGGTAAAGTACCTGCTGTACAGACCTGAGGACCTGAGGAAGTGCAATCCCCCACACCGTGTGTGCGGCATGTGTGTGTAATCACGGCACCATGTGCAACAGCATGCATGCGCAATCCCCGAACCATGTGCAGTGGCATACATGCATGTGTAATCCCAGCCCAGGGAAGCAG